TCCCTACAGCTGTATGACTGGTAATGACAGTGTTTGGGTTTTTGTCTATGCAGCATTTTCCATCACACAACAAAAATGCAGATGTTCCCCACTGTCTGATGGACATGTCTGGCCACACTATGGGAAGGAGAAAGAGGCCTCCATCATGTGACAGAACACAAGTACTCGTTAATGACACAACTGGATGCGTATGCCAGAAAAAGCAACAATGCAGATCAGGCTGTGGGTGGTCAAGAAAATGCATCCACCCTGCTTCTGTTCCTGCATTTGAGGAGACTCCAAAGAAAAGGTAGCAGTGTGTGTGTGTATAGTGTATATATATACAGCACACTAGCTTAGAGTAATGTAATAAATTCTGGATGTATTTACCAGTATTTATCCATTCCCTTAAAAGTATATTTGCAACAAATACTCACTGAATCCCTGCAAGCCAGAATAAAGACCTTTAAGTCATTCAATATAATTTCATTTAAGCTGAGGGTTTTAAGGAGCATTTCGACACCAAGTATATCATCGGTTGTTGCCCTTCTTACATGAAATGACCTATAAAAAAAAGACAAAAAAGAGAGTAAAGGCTCACTCTGTGGCAAATTAAAGACAATTCCCATGCTTAAGACAACATGCCTTCCACAAGCACAGAACACGTCTTTTAGATGTTTAAACTGATTGCTATATGACTTGTTCCAAATGCATATGTTAACTTACTGTGTGGTAACAGAAAAGAATCACACATTTACTGAAGACAACTCAAGAATGTTGCTTTAACTGCTACCAAACACTCAGTCTTTATGCACCTACTGCCCAATCCCACAAAGCAATGACTAGCTGTAACCACTGATATCACTTCATCTTCATGGGAATAAGAGCCAGCAGAGAAAGGAGGCAAAAAAGAAATCTTTTAAAATGTAAGTAGAATCCATAACTGCACATTGACACACATGGGGGGGAGGGGGGGGGAGGAAAAAGAAAAAAACAGAGATAAATAAAAAGGAAGAGAGAAAAAATACTAACATTTGTGTTAGGCTTAAGTTCTTCAAATAGTAGTGCATGAGGATAAACTTACATGAATGAAATGTCTCTGATAAACATAAGATTGCCAATTAGTAATCACACAGCAGTGACACAGTATAAAAATATCTGTGCAATATATACCACCAGCAATGTGTTAGCTACAAACAGGAACATCGTGGAATTTATCTAGTTTACACATTTTGTTATAAAACATCTTCCCATTCACCGATTATGAAGCAAATTTACTTCACAGTGACAGTCTACAGTAGCTGAGGAACTGTCTCATGTTGTCTGTTAAAGGCATCAACCCTTCCTGGTTAAACAAGGCTCATATAATAAGGACTTACGGAGTACTCTTCAAGGAACTGAATTACAAGTCAATTTTCAAGAATTAAGGTCTTTCATTCACAGTTTAAAAACTTGCAATTTATTTAGTATTATTTCCATTTGTCTTGTTCTTGTTTTCAACTTAAACTTATATGTGCTATTCTTCTGCCTAAGTCATGGTCGCATCAAGATTGATTTTGTGGAACATTATTTTAATGAATAGCGCTAGTACCTTAAAAAAACCAGACCTATCAAATATCTGGTATGTTATGGGAAATTTCACAGCTCAATCTCATTGATCATTTTCAACTCAATTACTCTAGTGTTCAAAAGCATGCATTTGATTACTACATTAATGGGTAATGGACTGGGTCCAGTCCTGTTCAATCTCTTCAT